ACAATACACAGATATTGTAATACAAGGCCAGGTATTTTAATGCCTTAAGAATAACACAGACAAACTGCTACAGAAGATCCCAAGAGAGTGGGAATTATGAGAAACTTTGCCTAATGTCACTCTAAGAAAGCAAGGTATAGATCCCTAACTCTGCTGGGATCCAGTAGAAGCTGGTTTTCTTTGAGATTACAAACTTTTGCATTGGTGTTGAGAACTGGTCCAATTGTCTGAGTTTCAATTTTTAGTCTTTTTGCATTGGCCTTGAGGAGAGAGGTATTTTTTTTGTTGTTGTTATTAATTTCTCTTACAGAGAAAAACAAGTAAGCTCAGCAAGGTCAAGTACAAGCCAAAAACTTATGCAAGGCAGACCCTCATCAGTGCAACTATCTAGAGTTCCAATGCACAAAACAAGGCTTGTTTCAAAGAGTGATTTATTACAAGTATGCCTTTTTAGGTGTTTAATAATGGCCACCCAATAAGATGTTTGCTTTTTCCTGGGATCAGGCTTAACTCCTTTTTATGCTGAAGTTACTTGAATGTAGGCTAAAAGGAAATTGTCAACACTGGAAGTAAAGTGCAACAGGTTTCATAAACTCCATTTGATAAGAGGGTTAAGTCATAACTTTTTGTAAAACAGCTGTCACTGGCTTGTATGTGGGAAGACAAATTAAAATAATATTTATTGAATATTTAGTATGTCCTGGCTTATACATTTTGCATAGATTATTTTATTTATGGATACTCTTATTATTCCCATTTTATAAACTAGGAAACAGTCTTAGAGTGATTAAGGAATTTTTCCACGTTTACATTTAGGAAGTAGTGACATCAGGATTGGAATTAGTATAAAGACGTAATATATGAATAAAGTAACACAATCTTATTTGTAGACCTACATAAACAACATATGCACTTACACATACACATTTACACATATTTAAATTTACTTTCCAAAAATTATTTCATGTGGTTTACAACAGAGAACTCGTAAATAAAATTAAGAAAATGAAAAATTGAGGCCGTGAGAAGGAAGATTATGCTAACCATATGAAGTTAACCTGTATCATCAAATGTGAAAACAAGAAAGGAAGGTCATAGACCCTTTTAAAAGCCTTTTACTTGTAATGGTTGTTTTTATCTTCATAAAGTTACATTACAAAAATTGAATAAACTTTATGAAAGCTACGATTTTTTCCTGAACATATTTTTAATTTTTGAGCATCACTGGCACTTAAAGTGTCTTGATATTTATTCTTAAATGAGATAGTTAAAATCCAAAAATATTTTCTAAATGGTAAAGTACTATATTACATTTATTTCTACACCTCTTTTCCTTACTTAGTGGTGAGGCCCTGTCTATCACACATGAGACTGGCATTCTATTCTATTCCAGCAGGCAAATTTCCTTTTTCAGAATCTGGCATGCACAAGTGCCCAACACATAGATCCTTCCCAATAAGTGATTTGCAAACAAATATTAAATGATTGCTCGTACTGTCACATGATGCCTAACATGCCACTGATATATAATGTGTGTGTGTGTGTGTGTGTGTGTGTGTGTTTAATGTGTCATTCTTTTAATCTAAAGGCCCCATTAACCCACTAGTTTTCCAACAGCTTTTTCTAAGCACTTTATGCTCTCTTGCATCATCCCTGGCCAGTTATCACCTCTCACTGTCAGAAGTCTCCAAACTTGAATGCAAAACCCTGTGGCCTGTACTAAGGCTATAACATAGGACTCTGGGAAGAAAAGGTTTAAACTCTTAATTTCTTTTTATCTCATGCTTTTTCATTTCGTTTTTGTGAGTGTACGCTTTGTCATAATAAAAATACATGAATACAGTGGTATATTTTATACATATACTTAGGTGCACGCTCCAACATTTTACTGATAGCAATGAATGATCTAAAAGGTTTGAAACTGTAGCTCTAAATAATTCTGCTGAACTCAGCATAATTCAACCAAAAAAATCCTGCGACCATAAAGAAATATAGAATGTTTTCCTATGGCTGGGTAGGGGGCAGGGGTGGGGAATGAGCTGGTCTTTTAAATTTTTCATAACATAAATATACTAGCAAATAATTCACAACATTTCACTCAGCAATTAAATATAGCAACTTGTGTTGATTTTTTTCCTCTTCTTCAAAAAAGAGCACAGTGAAATCCTAAGAGAGTTTTTCTTTTCTTTTCTCTTTTTTCTGGCTTTTACTTCATCTGCCTCTGGTCCCCAAAGTTTGTCATTTTGAAGGAACCGTCAAGTTACTCAAAACCTGTGTTTGGGTATGAAGAGTCCAGTCCTGGGTTTAAGTTCCTTCTTCACTGGTATATTCTGTGAAATATTGATCAGGTTAGGTAATTTGTCTCTGTCTCATTTCTCCTACTGTCAGAAGTCTTCGAACTTGAATGCAAAACAGAGATAATAACTTAGAAGCGACCTCATAGCCGTGTAGTGTGGATAAAGAACACTTTGTTCCTTCTGTCAACTAAATGCAGTGTCATTAAATATAACCTTTAATATGATCAGTTTAAAATGTTGTGTATATAAAACACTTTTACATTTTAAAAGTTATTTTCGTTAAAAAATAAACAAAACATCATGTTTCTAAATATCACTGTTTACTAAACTTCATAAACTTAAGTTTTCTCAGTATCTATTTCTCTCTCTGTCTCTCATTTGATAACTTTATGGTTATGAGAGGAAAACTGTAAGATAGCATCAAGGAAATAAAGGGATTTGAAGTAAGTTCTCTTATTCAGCCTTCCTTTAAGTTTTAAAGCCATGCATTTAGGTCATACAACTGCAATGTTTATTTAATCTTCAAAATGTTTGTGCTTAAGAGTAACTCACAGACTCTTAAATCAGAAGCACTCTTAAAAAAACATTTAGAGATTGTGATTATGCCTAGTATATAGTAGATGATGAGTAAACATTTAATGAAAAGAAACTGGGGAAAGCTTCTTATTTTACTTTTAAAAGAGAAAATGAAAATAAAACCTAAAACCAATTCTGAGCATTAAAGTAACTAAGTTAGTTGCTCAAAATTGGTTCCACTAGTTTAAGAGTTGGGTCTAAAATTTATTCCTCTTAATTTCCAGCTTTGGCCCCCCCCCCGCCCCCCCTCCCCCGTTTACCTCTTTATATAAAACTGTCAAACATAATCTGCGGAAGACACATCATAGAAAAAAAAAGTCAGAAAGAACCCCTTGAGTTCACCATCTCCAAAAGTCACATAACATGTGATGTTCACATATGATGTGAAATATGTGAAGTCAATATCATATATGTAATATAAAAAATACAAATCTTGCAATATTGACTCAAAGGTCTATTTTTAAAAGAAAGGGACCATAGACAATCTTCCGTGACTTATTCTACCTTATAGCACTGTGTATGCCCATGCAGGTGACTTGCAGTCCTCGGACCAGCGGCCGAAAGTAGATTGGCGCTTTCAGCAACATGTTTATCTTTGTTTCTGTGTATTTCTGTATTGATTTTTCTGAATTTACCTTGGAATGAAGCATTAACAACCTCGATGTACTATACTCCTAATAAACTTATCCTGCACTATTTTGGCCTATGTGATAGCTAACCCATTGACAAAAGAAATTCAAGCTGATAAAAGCCTTTCTTAGTCACTTATCAGCCAGGCCAGGCTGTAAAATCATAACCTAATGCATGCCCCTTCCATGGGGCACCACACAGCAACGATTTAAAAAACAACAACACACAACCCCTCACTTCCATATCCAGGGGAGTTGTAGTTTATTACTATCACCCTCCCAAGTCAAATGGACACCAGTTTCAAGCCTTGCCACTTGGTGCACCCAGGGTTTTTCGCCCGTTCCCCACTCTGCTGGGCCTCCCTACCTGCCCCTCTCCTACTGTCTACAGGTCCCGAACATGAGAAAATAGAAAATGTGATGATCTTTGTGTGTCTCTGTGAAATGTGTGTGTGTGCGCGTGTGTTTGGGTGTAACGGGCCTCCTGTTTGGCCGCGCGGCCTGTCCGTCAGCGCGCGGGCCAATGGCAGGCTGCCTTATATAAAGTGAGTGTTTTCGGGCTCTCCGGGTTGCATGTACTGTATGTGGAGCAGTGTACAGTGAAGCGGAGGCAGAGCGGCTCCGCGAGCTCCTCTCCACTTTCCCATAGAGAACCCCTGACTGGCTGGGGAGGGC